TAAAGATTTTTTATGCAAATAGAAGTAGCCCTTTTTCAAAATTATTTAAAATATGATATATATATATATAAGCCGAAATGAATAAAAACAGAGCAAAAGAACTATTCATATACAAACAGCACTATAAAAACAGACAGAAGAAGATCAAAGCCAATAATGTAAATAAATTTATATGTGTTAGGTTTACTGGCTAGGCGTTTCCTCGACTGGGTAATAATTCGGGGTAGTAGCAGGGTCCACGTCCCTCGTGTGTCGTCTGGGTCGCCTCCACAGTTCCACAATTCCACACTGGATCGACTTTTCTTTACAATACTGACACAGCGGCGGCCTTATATAGGCCGCTTTAGCGTCACTACACGACCTACCGAGGAGAGAGTCATGATACAGCAACATATGCATACCAAGATAATTAGAAAGACAAAATAATTAGTTGCTGGATAATGAATAAGACAAGCATAAGCTAACGGGTCAAAGCGCATTCAGCGCGAGTATAGGCTACCTCTTGAGTTTGACTGCTACTAGAATGTATCATTTTTCATCCCCCACAAACCGCTATATCGAGTTTTCGAGGAGTAAAATACGACGGAAATATAGTTGTATTGCCCTTAAAATACATGAGAAGTATGACTTTATTGGCCTCGTTTCAAAAGACGAGAGAATTACCGATGCTGTGCTCCATCGCTGGAAAGTTCCACAGTTCGTTTCTTCTTTTCTTCTGGGTCTGTGGAAGGCTGGATTTGTTCGTCCAATAAAAAAATCTGAAATGAGGCAAGTCCATCGTAAGCCCTTGGCAATCTTTTTCACAGTTGTCAGTTACTGCTATAACGTTCAACTGCCCTATCTTCCTTTATGCGAGAAATACTAGATGTATTGCTCTTTTTTGCTATTTCCGTATTTTTTAGATCCACCGAAGCCATTTTTTTTAACTATTTTCTGAGAGAAATTCGGGCCAAGGATTGAAGGCTGCAGGATAAAATTCTCAATGACAAAAAGTTGAGATTTGGAAAATTTTTTTCTGAAGTTTCGCTCTAAACTCATAAAGCTGAGGAAGAATTAAGATGAAATTACCTTCTGAGCTAACAGTACTGTTTCACAAGAAAATTTAGAATTTTCAGTAGCTGCTATGCGTACATCTCCAACATCACCATTTGGATCCTCCGAATCCACAACATAGTAGCGCATCAGAAGCCGCAAATGAGCCAATGTTAAACTTCTGGAAATGAACAACTGGCTACGTAATTTTCTATGTCAACTTTCCAAGAACAGTGTACAAAAGAGAACTTGAGGAAAAGCATGGAAAAAGAAAAATCAGAAACCAATGCAAAAGGTGAATCTCTTGGCTTTTTTAACTGAGATTTTTTCAAATTCTAATTATCACTTTTTTATTTCTTTAATTGTTAGGAAAACCAAGACCGTCCGGCATGGGCAGATCCAGGGCAGACTTCCAGGAAGAAGGGAGGGACGGCGAGGGAGGGGAGAGGGTGGGAAGCAGAGTCCCTTCCTACCCCAAAAACTATGCAAAAACTAGGAATAGAATTGTAACTGTGCTACTTAGATTACTTTAGGCTTTAGTTTTCGCTTTAGACTTTGGATTTTTCCAGCACTGGTGCTTGTGCCGCTGGAACTGCGGAGAGAGAGGGGGGAGGGGAAAACCCATCGTTCACTTTTC